ACCCCCCCCCCCCCCCCCCCCCCCCCCTCCAACCACATTCGACAGTATGACTCTAGCTTTCATCCGAAAAAGGCGAGTAAACCGTGACTTTCCGAATAGCAAGTTAAAGCTATTTTGACTTGAACTGCGAGCGAATAAACGTACCTCTAAAGTAGCTCCTATCCAAAATGCATAGCAACTATCATCTGGCTTATGAGCTCTTCCATGAAATCCATCATCTTGCTTCCAAAGAGCCCACTTTACGAGCCTATCGATTTCTTGCTTCGATAACACTGAACCGTCCCATAGGCGATTTGCTAGCGATAAAGAGGCTATAGCGCAGAACGTTGAACCACCTGTAGAATGATATATGTATACGGCCACCACGGAACGAGACGATGACTCTCCAATGTGTGCACAAACTGCTGAATCAACTTACACAAAGTCAAATAGCTGGCTTAAACGGAGAACTACTTTAGATTTAATCGAAGAGCAGTAAAGGAGAACCAAGGCTCAACTGGTGGTAGGATAAGATCGATAGGAAGGCAGATAAGCGGACAATACTATAAATCGGCAGGTCCGAGAGGATATTCACAATATGATTCATCCTCGAGAGAAAGTGGTCGAAAATCGGATCGACCAACAAATGTGCTCGACGGCTCACGGCATAGGAGGGCAGCAAATGAGACAAGTGAAAGACACAGTTAAAAGGACCGTTCCAGACAACCATACATATAAAATTTAGATCGCGGTGAGGACTTTGTATGGGGGTAGGTGAGAGAGTAATGGAGCCATGGAAGTCGAAAACCTACCCAATCACAAAAAAAAAATTCAAGCTCAAGTAGACCACGCAATACACAGGTTAAAATAAAAGAAAAAATGCCGCTTACCATGGCTTTCATCTCCTGGACCTTGCCCGATGCCACCATCATAATTTAGGCTATTTCGAATAAAGTTTCTCAATGAAGAAAAGTTGATATACGAAAAATCTTGAAGGATATGGCATATTGCGACAGCACAGAAAACGAATCGCATGTCACTTTCAGAGTCAAAGCCTTCACTCCAGAAGCTGTAAATGAATAATAATTCACTTAAGGTGGTTTCTACTACGGGTATGAAAAGCTTACCTTCCATCTCCTTTTTGTGACTTCTTAAGGGTGTTCAAAAGAGCAACCTTATTTACACGCTTGAAATCATCGCCAAGTATAGCCAGACACAAAAGAGCACTAAAATAGAAAATTTATATAAAGGGCACATGCAAATTCTGGCACAGCTCTGTGTCCTGTTCTAGCTCGAAGCCTCACTACCAGCAAGCAACGAAAAGTAGTTCCTGATAGGGTGTAGATTAAGCGTAAGGTGCGAGTCCCTAGCTAGTACCTAGGGGTGTGGTGCGAATCATCAATATAATGAGGTCATCGGACAAAAAGCGCTAAGACATCATGCCTACCATCATAACGGAAGAAATAAGAACTTATAAGTAGAATAAGTAAAGAAATGACCAACTATGCACGTTTACAGAAGGATTGCGTTTACTAGAATCAAAAAATTTGGAGGTTTTCTTATTTTGAACGTTTGACAAGTAAATTGTTGACCTAAGAGGTGAATTCTCAATCTCAAGTGGGCTTTTTTGAGATAGCAAAGAGATTTGCTCTATTCATGGTAACGCCGTGGACTACTGTGAGCCCAACCCGCTAGTCTCAGCATGAAGATCACCTTGCTCTTTGCTTGGAAACCCCCTCTCCTTGAGGTCCCCGCTCGCAAATTGCGCTGAGTTACATAACATATGTATAAATCGTAAACTTTAAAAGAAAGCAAAATTTCTAACTCGAGGGAAATTGAACCATACCTGTACGTCTGAGCTAGATTCGCGGAAGAGTAAGCGCCGTCGCCATCGTTCGAGGCAAAACTCATACATCCTCGAAACCCGCAGAATTTTCCTAAGAAATAAATTATTCATCAGAGCATCACAGAAAATGAGGGAAACGCGGAACATCAATGCCAAGGAAATAAACGAAGTTGAACAGCTCAAAACTTTATTCACCAAACACAACATTGTGATAAATCAAAACATGAGATCAAACAACATTACTTCAACAATTTCAACAGAAAATCAAACAAATTATCATAGATATTAGCTACAAAAGCTCACAGATTTGCTTTCGGCTACCTGAAGATACGACTTTTTTCCATTGACTCCTCCCAGACCTTATTTACAATGGAGGGGATGACTGCATCGGGATGCGAAGGTTTGAGTAACTCTAGAGGTTTGCAATCTTTGTATAATTCCTTCGCCAGCGGTTCAACAGTGCAACGCTTTGGCTCTGGCACATCTTCATCACCCAGTTCTATGTCAATGACAGTACACAGAGAGGATACTGGCTGATTCAGCGATCCAGGAAGGTGTTGAACGTAATCGTCCTCCTTTACCAAGAGTGGAAGCGACCTCTCCAATCGTCTCTTACTGGTTGCCCACAAGTCCTTTTCTTCAGAGCTCTCCATTTTCCCATATCGCATAGTTTGAAACCATACACTTCCATCAGCTAGCGTCCTCAGAAGGAAATCGGCAGGCCTTCCACGTACGTCTTGGTATCCTTGCACTATTGCCATTCCCATCACAGGTTCACGGGGCAGATGCACGCGATGAAATACGGGGGACGGCATCACGACCTTCTCGTAATCCAAGCAGTTACCTAGGGAATGGATCGGCATCACAGACGACCAGACCTCACATTCGTGACTATACAGGTGTAGGACAGAGATGTCTGTCAACAGATGATCGAGGAAATATGCTGAAACTATGTGCCCAGTTGCGAGAGGGTCCACCACTGGTGGTGTTACCATCATAACATGTGAACCATATGGAATGGTATGTGGAAGAGTGAGAACGGCCGCTTTTGGAAAACGATCGTCGCAGAGGTATGCGGAGTGGGGCGTCACTACTAAGAAGTTGTGCGGACGTTCAGGGATCGTTCGCAAATGGTAGATCACTGGTCGTTTCACCGGTTCTTTCGGGACGTAGTCCACGTGGTCCATCGGTCCCTAAAACAACTTTGTTATTTTGATCAAATTAAGAAATCATTTCACCCAGATGACCCAAAATCTCAGCCCAGAAACGTAGATATAATTATTTCACTGCATTATTATGGGACGATAGTGAAGGACAGATCTTTGGCAATGAAATTTTCATTTTCATTTTTTCATTTTCATCCACCAAGCGGCATCCTTTTGCAAGCAGAGGGCTCTAGCACCACTTATAGCTATCTAGCGACTCCGAGGCTCTTTACGTTCTTTACACGCTGGACACGAATTTCCAGTCTCCCAAGTTATATCACTTAACTTCAGGCTCCCAACCTTATCTCAAGGATAACGCTGACAACTCATGAATTAATTGCAAAACGAGAAAATATAACTGAACAAACAGAAAACGAAAAAGGAGCAAAAATAAGTCAATATACATAAGTCTACCTTTTTATCAAATTCCGGTACTTCAAAGAGGATAATGGAGCTGGTGGCGTTATCGAGACGAAGATCAAATGTACGAACTTCGTAACTTGAGGATGCAAAAACTACGCGAGGATGATCGCTATGGGAGATCAACTGAAAAATATATCCGATAAGGACGTTAGCGAACGGAAAATATAAGCTCACTTTTATATCACTACATGAGCTTTTTGTTCGAGACAGCGGTGACCCTATTGGTCCATTCCATACCATGCCACCCATATCGCACAAAGTGACATCCCCGGAGAGGAGCGCATTCTCTTCAAAACATCGCACTGCGCTCTGAACAGCTTGAGTCACAAAAACACCTACCCTACAGACACTTTACATTAATAGATCACTAATTTAAGGAAGGTATCAAAATCTGTGAACTCACCCTGAAAACTCGCACCTCATCACCGGTCTTCAGATTTACCACAGAGAGATAACGTTTACAACGAGCCCAAATCTCTCGTCTGTTTACTTGGCTGACACGCAACTCAAGTATGGAATCGTTCATGTTCAGCTCGCGCTTTACTTTTCCTTTGGACCGTAGCAGCCCATCTTGCGCCTAAAGTTGCTCGAACTTTTTGGTCGACATGAGACCATAATCAAAAATAAACTGCGGCTCAACTGACCTCGACCTTAAATTCTTCGATAAGCTGCTGACTGGTTCCTTCAACTACCCTCCACAAAAAGATTTCTCGTTCACTTCGCTGAGAAGCCGCCAATAAGTTTACATATCTTAGCATATTACTATCCATGTCACATCGAAAACTGCCAGGCGGTCGTCGAGGAACAGTCTACATATACTCTTCACAGCGCGGTCAGTAAAGCAAAAAGAAAATGTCGCAAGAGCATTACCTTTTGCGGCTTACGAGGTAGAATAGGCTCAATGTAACCAGCAATGACCGGAGCGACAGGTCTTTTCCAACGCGCAGCAAGGTTATACTGCGGAATATCATCACCCGATCTCAGATCAGTCAATATTCCACCAAAACCGCGCCATCCCGCATCGGCCAGACCGAAGTCTCGCAATTTGGGTTCACAATACAGTGCGCTCATTTATAGCGCGTAAATGGAAAAACAACAACGATAAGAAAGAACAGCAAGGATAGAGACATCAAATGACAAAAAAGAAAAAGGTAAGCAGAAAACAAAAGTTATCTTTCTTATCGCCATACTCACATTATCCATATAGTACACATGGAACACACGATAAAAACACAAAAATGTCACAAACGAGAAACGAGCAAGCAAAATATGAACACACGAACCTGGCCCAGTAACTTGCAATTTGTAGATCCAGTCAATAATCGACCTTCTACGATCGTCGCTTAATAGCTTATCTAGTTCCCCAAGGAGATCAAGAGCTGACACAGCAAAGAACAATAGCGTTACCCTACAAAAACGACCACTCAGTTATGCCGTTACAACTCAAAAAAGTAAATAATCTCCACTGAAAGGGAGCTTTTGAAAAGATGAGGGAATTTAAAACGTTCCACTAAACATAGGTTCTGGTAGAAAGTTCTCCGCCCAACGCTGTATATATGGAGGTGGGAGGAAGATGCCTTCACATACACAGCCTAGCTCGAAGACATGGGATCCTCACAATAAGACTGATCCGAAATTTTACAGAACGAGGACAGTCCGAATCGAAAATATTTTTTTATCATTCTTCTGTCACTATTTAGTATTTTCAATCCCCCTTTTCGAATGATCCCGCGCTTGGGAAAAATGAATCCTCTAATGTTTCAAAAGCACCTCGATGTAAAATGTAACAAACCTGTTAGTATCGAGAGAGCAATACTGTTCAGGAAACACGTTTAAGTGACGTATAAGAAACTTTACGTGTTTTTGTAAAATGAGGCCTTCTGACATGCACTAAAATATTATTTCAGAACAATTTCCAGAAAAGTGAATCGATCAAGTAAGGAGGAGCGATAATACTACTCATAAAAGCAAGCAAGTATCCGTGAAGAGAAATCTAAGTTTTATTCGAACAATTTTTCATTTTACAACGCATTCATTTTTTTACATTTTTTCATAAAGCCTACCTAACTACAACAAAAACGTGCTATGCCTATAAAATAACAAAGATCACATCGCATCTGCAATATGAAACAACAACAAATCCTAGAAAATCACTTATTCCATAACAGAGCTACAAATTTCCTCCACGTGTCCATGTTCACATGAGTTACTTCCGTTAGCTGCTCGTAAAATGGCTTCGGTTTGTAAAGTGGGCAGGCTGGAACATACAGGAAAATCATTGAAAATGGGAGAAAGGCAGTGTAAAGCTCACCTTTTTCTACCCAGACTATATTTTTAGTAGGATCTTCGGAGCTCAAATTCAACGTATTCAACTGGAAACTGATAAGATCAACCTTGCCATTCACAACTTGAACACCTTTGACGACCTAAATAAGCACGACATACACTTCACAGAACAAATGCGTGACTCTGCAAAAGCCGCAAAAAAAAGACTCGTTCACATGCTGTAATGCTCTGATTTCACAGCGGAACATACCACTGGGTCTTTCTTCAGATCTCTCGGCGTGCCCCCTCGAGTAGCTTCGGCCACTGCTGCTCCAAATGTATGAAGCACAGCATTAGCAGCATTTTGCTCCCTGAAGACTTTGATTTAGAGAAAGTAAACTAAAGGCATTTTTCAAGACCTAAATCTACTCACTAGAGCAAAATCTACAAAAAAAAAATAAAGGAAAAATCTCGATTCAACGAACACACTTTGTCCATGGGTACTTCTGATTCTGTTCTCGCGACCACAGTATTGCGTGTAGCGCTAAGGCAGTATTGGGTCGGGCAACCACAGCTTTATCGTTGTAGATATGATCCGATCCCAAATCGATCAGTGGAGACAAAGGAGCAATGTTTGGTATTTGTAGTTGGCTAAACATTGTCGATGTATTTAAGCCTACTTATTGCTCTTAGACACAATTAAGTCCGAGCACCACAGATAAACCATACCTTGCCTCTTCGACTTCATCTGCTGTAGCCCATGGGGTGATTGGCTTAGATCCCTGTAGTGTAATGTGAGGTTGAAAGCGCAGAACTAATGGATTTGGAGCGAATGATCCAACATTTGGTAATGTGGCACTGATTGGCTCATCTCTGTCGAGTCTGAAGCACTTCGCGTTGAAAACTGTCTCATGGCATTGAGAACGCTCTAGACACCAAGTTTTTAATAATAGTTACGATGAAAAACACGTCTACTCTCACATGGGACATAGAGTCCCCTTGGGAAGCTCCTGATTATGAACGCAGTGGACCTATAGGTCCACTCTGTAATCGAGCATCTTCACAGATTAGCTTCTAAACAGGACCCTTGAGATCCACTGTGGAAGAGTAATGAGTAACACAAAATGATTTTGTTCCGAAGATTGTTGAAAAAAAAGTGCGTACGAGAATTGAAGTCACTAAGAGAGCAAACCATCGAATAAAAACCACGAGAAAAGTGAACTTGATTAAAAACTACTCACCGTATGTGATCAGAACTGTTTCCGCTTCTGATTTCAGAAAAAAGAATAGCGCGAGAGAGGTTATCGAGTATGATATTTCTGAAAAGCTTATGCAAAGTCATCAGCTTGCAACTCTTTCGAAAGGAAGAACCAACTCTAGGGTATAAAAATATACAAAACAAAATGAAAGAGATGTTCATATAAACCTACAGCCGCTTTGTGACTGGTGTTCCGTATACTCTAGGATGTGGTATCCAAAAAAGTACAGGATCAAATCTACGCGGCAGTTTTTCTAAAGTCGGATCATACTTTTCGCCATGAAGAATCGCATCACGGACCTTTAAATGAGAGCTTAAAATGGAACTATCTACCACCAAAAGTATACCTTCATGAGGTTACTCCTAGGAATATGTTTGGAACAAACAAATGACCTGCTCTTCAGAGATGTCCACGTGAGACGCATTATGAATCACTGATTCTGGTAATCCTTCTCTCACTATTGCCTTGCTGAGCACTGCCGCTTGATCGATACCATCACTCATTGGCGTGCTCCCATCAAAAAGAAAACATCGAGTTTCATGATAAAGTGGATGTTCCTGAAAGAAACCATAGTAAAATGGATTGTTGAAAATGCATAAGTGCTAGCTGAACTTTGCTTATAAATGAGGTTTAGCAAAAAAGTGAGCAACAAAATCACCTCAACCGATGGTACTCGAAAGGCCGGATGATCAACACGCAGGTCTGGCAAAGGTTTTCCAGTTCCAATAATTGGCGTCATAAATGAAGGATCATTTGGATCGTACACGGTGACTCCAGCAGCCTTCAACAGGATCAATAGAGATTCAGATGATTAGTAAAGGTATAGAATTCATGACCTTAAGCGCATTTGGGATGAAGTCTACTTTACTAGTTCCTGTTTGGGCTCGTAACACCTACAAAGTGGGAATAGCTGCAGAGAAAGCTGTTCTGAGAGTAAGACTGCGCAGATCGTAGAGCTCAAAGTGAATGGCCGATCACTTGATTCGCCGGTTGTCCCTGTTCAAACGCTTAGATTTACTTCTGATTGTTTATCTGTAAAGTAGTTCTTCCCATTGTTAATCCTATATGCTGAAAACCCTTATAAGATCCCGACAGCATCGTTCTCTGGGACCACTTAGCAGCGCTGCATGACTACATAGAAATCAGTTTTTAATCGGAAAAATATGAAACGCCATAGTAAGAAGTAGACTCACTTTCACAGCTTCTGGTATAACGAAATGACAAGATTTCCTGTTGTTGCGTGCCTTCAAAATTGCCTTGAACACCCTTGTGTCGACTTTTCCCCATTGTTTGGCAGGTCTATACTTCCGGAACACCATTCCTAAACTTCATATAAAAGAAAACATTAGAGAAGGCTAAGTATTATAAAGTTAGCAGCATAGAAGTAAACCAAATAAGTCTTTATAAACAACATGGCGGCTTGTTTGTTGTAAGCGTTAGGTTAGCACTAAACACACACTGTTTGACGTCTCTGCTAAAGTTAGTGAACAAACACATCGTAGAGGAAGGTGCTTGGGAATTAGGGCAAGGGAGATACTATTTTGGAATGAGATCTGAAACAACTGTAAAGCCTAAGTTAATTTCTGGGCGATTCTATTTGTTCCTTAACGCCTTAGTTGCAGGAGAAAGGAGTTCTTACTCTGTTAGGTTGGTTAGGTTCGATTTTACAGAAAGCTCAGAGAAAATAGATTATCAGTGTCAACTCGCCAAACTGTCTAGTCTTTTCTGTGATGTTTGGAATCTGCAAAGTTCGAAAAATCTATGCGGACACAGTTGATAAAGTTCTATCGGATTTTCTAGCTCCAGAAGCTTTTCTCTGGTTGATATATTATTAAAAAAGGCATTTAGTCTCTGTCCCCTGTATTGAGTGATACCTTCAGGTTGGTTATCACCTCAGATCAATGTAGTGAGCCCAACGACAAGCGCGCGTTTGCGACGCGTCTCCGCGACGTTGGCGTATCGATCTGGTCACGCGTGCTGCTGCTGAAGGCTCACTCCATTTGGAAACGCAACTGTACACAGCTGTGGTCGTCTGGGTATTTCAAACGTTAAGGTACGCTGTCCATTTACTATCAACATTGTTCATACTTTACAATCTCGGAATTTCATTCAGCTTGGCATGCATCAGTCTATGGTGTAGGAGGATTTGTTGAATGTTTATTAAGCTTTGTTGTTGTTGTCGTTTATTAATTTGCCTTTTACGGTTCTGTCAAAATCTGCTATATTTTCTTGGGATGTCAGTAGGGCGCTTGCGTACAGTTGTTTACGTTCATTGCCTCTGTAAACAAGTCTTTACGTCAGAGCTAAAGACGTGCGCAAGTCCCTTCGTTTCAGATTTATCGCCTACAGTCTCTCATGAGTGTCAATGGAAACCCATGCCAAACCCAATTTTGTGAGTTCAATACCTTCAATTATTTGTTTCATAGTGGATCTTTTTATTGAAAATTGATCGATTCCTAAAATGAGTTTCAGTCGAGTATCGCACGAGCGTTATTGTTGAAAAAAGCCAATGAAGATGTTCAGAAGACGGTGAAAATTGAGGTTGTGGAAGAAGAAGTAAGTGTTTGCTGATGTAGCCTTTTCGTCCGTCTTCCTTCATCGCTTTTCGGAAACCAGTTACTGTAAAAGTTTCCTTTCAGAGTAAGGCTGAACGAATATCAGACGGCCCTAAACAGTGTCAAACTGATTGTCAAGCGTTGGTGAGTTCAAACCATTCATTACATCTGTAGACTGAACCAGTCTGAATTCTTCGAGCAACATGTTCAGGAGTTTTTTTGTGTTTTTGTTTTCAGAGTGATGTAGGACGTCGATCAGAGGAGGTCAACGATAAATGCGGATGTGTTTCCCTGGTCAGCGCGGTAAAAATTTGACTCTTNTTAAATTCACTAGGAATATCCATGAGGGATAAAGAGTGAAGTTTCTGGCGTTCGTCAAGGCCGTATTTGAGGTGCGCCCTTAATTGGCCTCCATTCAGAATCGTGGTGGCCGTTTGAACACAGTGAAGTGCGGTGACCAACCGATATACAACTTAGTTCTTTTATTCTCCCGGACAAGCCTTGCATCATTTAACCGTCCCCTGAGGGATGGGAAGCTTGGTTGGTCTGGTATCGATCCACGATCTGGTTCCCGAACCTGCGTGTGTGATAGTGCAGCGTTTACCGTTAAACCACCTCCACATTTGGAAATTATCAACGAAAATTTATTATCAGAAAAGCCCAATACATGCCCAATATCTTGTGAGTTTGATAATTGTATGCTATCGAAGATCAATTTACGGCAGATATTTCAGTATAAATCAGTACGATTGGCAAACAATTGTAATGTTCATACTCAAGATCAGACTACTCCCTTGGTGAGTTGAGTTTTAGTGATTTTCTCTTATATCATTTTGATATTCTGTAGAGAAGAATTTTCGACTCCTTCACTTTGCTATGAACTCTGACTAGACGACTATCGATCAATCACAAACAAACTCTCATACTTCAGTGGTTCAAGGGATAAAAGCCTTATTTGATCCTTAGAATTCCGTTGGGGAATCATAGCAGTTTTGCTTCGAACCTTGATTGTTGTTTCCTAGCATAGGATTAGGATAATTTCCCTTCACTTGTTTTGTATTTAATATCAAATTTTGATATTGTAAAGATTTCAGCGTTCCTTATTAGCTCAATCTCGCCGTTCCAACGAAAGGAGGCCGTTATGTGATGTATGTTTTTGTTTACTTCCCAATAGTTCGACGTATTTTTAATAGTAATTGTATATTGTATATTTATAGGATCCGAACAGCATTCCTCCCTCCACTGCATCGACATCTCATGATATTTCGATCTGCGATGGATTCTATAGCCGTGTTCGTTGTCTTACAGCAAAGACGCTGTCGCAGCGATTACACGAAAACGGCAAAAGTGAAAGACCAAAATATGGTCGCAAAGGGCAAGCCTTAATGATTCGAGTGCGGATGTTCTTCGACGAATTGAAAGCGTTTTTGGGTCCCACCTGCAAAGGAACGCTATTCGACTCACCTACTGCATTGACTGCAGCAGCCTGTGGTGTGTCGAGGAGTACCGTTATTCGTATTGGGAACAGCTTACAGGAATTGAATTCTTTCCCACGGGAACGCAAAAAGGGTCCACGTAGCCGAAGGGATGATAGGTTGGCTGCATTGAAGAACCACGGCCAAAAGTGGGGCGATATCGTCCGCCAGCACATACGCCGTAAGCTGAAGCAGAAAGCAGACCTCAGAATGACAACACTGCATCGTGAATTGACGACGGCTCATCTGGGTTTCGAACTTTCCAAGACTACTCTCTATCGACTCGTCAGGGCGCTTGGGTTTTCCTATAAGTTCGATAACGGTAAACGATATATCTATGAGCGCTGCGTGGATAAAAGCCCACCAGATGAGGTTGTAAGTAATAGCGATAGTGAAAGCGAAGAGGATGAAAGTGATGAAGTCGATGATTGCGATGACGATGAGCTCATGGATGAAGACGGTGGCGAGGAACCATGGATGCTGGAAAGTATGGACAAAAACAAGGAAGACGACGATACGTCATGCTATGTTTTTCGTCTTGCAAAGTCGACTAAAGAAAGCGTAGGTGATGATGGAACTACGGGTGATTAGATGAGCCATGAAATTTTTATTTTTTCTTTCTGGAGGACATAATTCATGGCATTCTGTGAAGGGAAATAAATCATTGAAATAAATGTTTTTGTGGAAATAGTCATTTCCAATTATTGAAGTTAGGAAAGGGGAGTTGTTAGGTTAGACTGAGCGACAGTAGGTACATCGGAACCTTGGCGTTCAACCTTGGCGAATCAGCGCTGTCTCTGGTTCCCTGGTCGGCAGTGTGAGTCTCACCCCTTCAGAGTTTACATCGGGCTTATGGAGGAGGTTCACGAAAATCTTGTTAATCCGCGGTGTGTCGGTTTTAACTACTTCTTCGGGGAAGAGTGATGAATAGAACGTGGAAGTAGGCTTGTTTCTAACCCTGAAGGATTATTCTGAGGGGCGCACTGACAAGCTAGTTATATGAACATAGATCCAGCTGTGCTAAGGAGGGCGCTGGCTTCAACTATTGGGAAGTCAGGGAAGTTATGACGAGGTTTTTGGTATTGTTAGGAGGGTCTTTGTTTACATAAACAATATAAGTCAACAAGTTTTTCATAGTGCTAACCTGCTTAAAGTGCTACAACGATCTATTTGTGAGGAGAGCTAATAAAGATCTCTAATGTCCAACACGTACTACCAGTCAGTAGATGTTAAACTACCAAAATTGCAGAACTGTGTGGGAAGGGAAAAGGAAGGACGGGCAGCAGGGATCAACCACTATCACGATCGTCCAGTAAAATTGATAAGAACTAGTAAAAACGGGATAATGCTCTCAAAGATTATTTATATAGCTAGAGTTAAAAAAGCTCGAGGCGAGGGGCTCAAGTCCTCAGGCAGAAATATCAGGCGAATTGAAGTGGAAACTCAGTTGCGAAGTCAATGGTATTGCTACGTTGTGGATTTGAGAGGCTTTAGGATGATTTATATGACATCTCAGACATGAGGAAATCAACTTGAAACATCGCACCCTTCATCGGTTCAATACATTTGACATGTTGAGCTAAGGAATGGTATGACTCTAAATAAACATCGCTTGCTTAACAAAAAATCGTTGAATGGGCCGAGACATGGGCCTTCGCAACTTTCTACAAATGCTGCGTGCACGGCTCATTCGCGAGATACCGTAGGAAGATTACGGTTATTCGGTGAATGGCCCATTCAGTAGCTACGATACACAGAACACGGTAACAGGAGAATTAGTCATTTGGGTATGGGTATATGCAGGATATAGGTTGACTAGATGATTACAGGAAATACGGTATGCAAAATACTGTAGGTGTTGCCTGTGGTCAAGATTGAGGGGTTTGACATTTCCCACATGGTAAAAAAGGTAGACTTAACATGCACAGGGAATTTACTACTTCTACTGTTACAAGGTATTTTTCGGGTACTCTGGACGTACTACACTTGCAATATTGGCTACATTTATAAAAATACTTTCTTTGGCTGATTGTTGTTGATTGTTTACTTTCACCAGTACAGAATTCCTATAGTTTCAGCGGATTCTTAGTCGGTGCCGGGGTACGAAACCCTTAACGTACTGCCCTGTCTCCTGCCACCTGGTTCGTATTCTCCTACCACCCCCACCGCCTTCCCCATTCTTATCGGGGATTCCTAGCATTCGTTTGATCGTACACGCTTTCGGAATTCCAAGGCCCAGCTAGTTTTATGAACTGGGTTCTTATTTGTTTTGATAAATCGCCTGCTCTTTTTTTGTTTTCTTTTTCGTTTTGGATTTTTATGTAGCAAAGGCGTTTCTGCACAGCCCGTTAGGCGTTTTAACGATTTAGAGATCTTGAGAGAATAGGTTTATCAGTTATGCACGTGAAAACCACGTCTTTAGAAATAAACTGGAGAAATGGAAGTTCGATCGGCGGTGCGCCATCTCCCGCTCGAAACGGTGTTTCCGACAAAGGTCATTGCCGCAATCATAGTGAATTTTTTGATAACGTATCAAGGTCTTGAAATCGATCAAATTACTGTAGTTTCATTGATTTTGCAATCGATAATAGCCAGAGATTGCCCAGGAATACGTTGGCTGGTGCTGATGCAGTGCTGTTACTATGAACCTCTCGACAAAGATGGCTTCGACGCTCGTTTCGCAGTATCGTACTAACCCCCTTCAATGGATCAGATCTGCCTTTGTTCAACATATCCTATATCATCTTCATAGATGACTATTTACTATGGAACTAGTTTTTCAATGTTAGAAAACTATGTGTTGACCTAGAAGGGCTCCTAACACTCAACGATTTGGCCAGAGGTCGAATGCATGGCGCAGACTAAAAAAAAATCAATTCGTAATGATAGCTTTCGTAATGATGGAACATTTTTCTCACAAGAGATGATTCTGGAGAGTCTAGTTGATGGCTCAACATATAGGAGTAAAAACACGCAACAGCAAGCTTAAATTAGCCCGGTTGAGCCATGCACTCCACCTCCATCCGAGATTGTTGTAGTGATCGATTTGAATTTGCAATACCTGTCACTTTGAAGCTCCGAAAACTAAAAAAATTCGGTCAATAGAGCAAAGCGTGTTTGTCAACCGGAAAATTCGGACCAGTGGCTTTGGGATGTTATCTGATTGTTTCCTCCACTGAATGGGGCACCTTGTTGCCCTTTCCCAGTGGTGCCATCTATTTTCACCCTCACCAAGAGGCTTAGTTGATAACAGATTTATCAAGAAATTCGAAAACAATACCCGGGACAGTGGCAGGCCATCGATAGTCACCGTGCCGTAAGCGAAGAGGATTGTGACGAATTGCCTACCCGGGACAGTTATTTTGAGTGGGTGATGGGTGCATGACTTATTCCTGCTTTCTATTAGAGAAAACCAATTTTCTAATTCCATCGTTCAGATTCCCTACCACCAACGAAATAGCGGCATCTGCTACAGGGACTATCGGTTGGGTATAGTGGATGATGGCTCCGTTCCACATTTCTCCAATTAATCCAGTCGAATTCCGTCCACCTTTATTCCGTTCATGAAGACCGTGTTGTCTCTGTAAATCACGTAAGTAGAAGCAGGGCAAAGTATGAAATACCGGCTGCTCTTCCAAAGCGGGGTGTGACTCTCCCAAAATAACCCCTACCCACACTCACCCGCATCACCTGTTGTGCTGTCTGCCAGCGACGAGCACCGGTAACGTCTCCATTTGTCCCATTCTCTAGTCGCCATACTCCAGAGGATCCTGATCGTTCGAGGGATATGTAGCACACCATTCTTCTCTTCTGAAGCCCAAAAGAAAGCGTCCGCTCGCCAGGATAATGGTCTGGTGATCGTCTGGCGTCTCTAATTGATAATGGACCAGTTTAGCTCAGTTCAAAGTTCATCACAAAAGCGCATGACGTGCCTGGGCCACCTGGTTTTCAACTTTTTGGCGTTTTTGATAGCGGCCTGGTCGTTGGTCGTTGAGATTGGAATTAGAGGTCAACATTTCACTTTCTGAAGACCCCAGACCCTTGTTCTTTCCCCAGAGCGCTGGAAAACGCTGACCGTATTCCGTCTGCAAATCGAAAAAATGGGCGTGCAGGTTCCCGAATGTCCTGCGCGCACTTGAAGATCACGTGGCCGCCTCGAAATTCGACTACGGTCATTAATATAGTAAGTCGATGACGTGTGACCAGGTTCATCACCGGGGAGTTGGGTGAAAGAGAGGTGGGTTCAATTTCTATCACCATCATCACGACACAATCGATCACCCATCACATCAACCTTTTCGTGTACCGCCCCCATTCGCTTCGCCCCACCCCCCTTCCCTTCACACCCCCTTACGACCTAATCGAGAACCCCTTCTTTCTCAGCCACCGACTGTCTGTCGCACCGCTATCGTTACTGACAAATTTTACACCTTCATCGTCGGCGTGGTCGTCGTCGTCGTCGTCGTCTTTGAGATGGGCTCATATAATCGTTTCATATCGCAATATTGTTTATGTGTTGCGTGTGCTGATGCTCAATAATGTTTACTCTTACTCCATTCGATTTACCTTGATTACCTCCAACTCAGGCAGTCTGATAATGTGATCATAGTTCACTTTTTTGACGAGTTAATTCGCTGTAAAAACAATATGAAGGATTGATATGGGGAGTTACCAGTTTTTTTCCTTCCAAAAATAATTTTTCATTCATCTTACACCTATAAAGACCATATTGAAAACTCGCTATAAGTGTAAAGAAAGTTTTTTGTGCCATCCACTGAATCGATATCGTTTGCAAAAAAAAGGAGACCTGAAAAGGAACGAACGACTTTCTGGTCGTTTTGCCATTTCAAGAAGTTTTTTTTGGAAGATTTCAGTAATGGTACATTGTATCTTTAATGGTATGCTACTCAAGCTTAAGAGGGAGGAGCCAAAATTTTTCTGGACAGACTGTGTCTGGGTTCGAAGGCGTGGCGTGGGGAATGACTTGGTGAAAGTCACACTGATCAGGTTCTTTTCCAAATTGTCAAGTTACAAGATCTCAAATACCTAATTGTTGAAAATACGATATCAGCTGAAGTAGGCGTGGCTAAGCTTGAGAAGATGCGGTCAAAAGTTACTGTAATTAGGTGGGCTTTGACCAATGGGCACAGTTAGTAAAAATCGTTTTGATATCTTTTTTCATGCCTGTAGCACATCACTTTTCTTACGGCTTTCGTGAACGATTATTTGGTGGAAATTTCTCAGATTTTCCTGTAAAAGCTTCAACAAAGGGTCCTCGTAATGTCATTAGGTAAGGTTCCTGTTTGCAAAGATGTTTTATTATTTAATTACTATATGTAACTCATATAACATACAATATATTTTTTATTGTATATATTATAATATTTTTATAGATATTTTTGAATCGCTCATAGCCAACTGTTTGAGAAGGCTCAAGAAAACCTTTAGGGTGGGCATCCAAGAATCTCAGAAATACGCCAAGAATTCGATTACTCTTTCAAGTCCGAACGATAGTATGATGACCTTATCTGGAGTGATTAGATTTTAGGTGGATCGAGCGGATTTTATGTTTTAGATCTTGGGAAGTCGAA